GTCGGTCCTCGGGTTAGGCCGGCTGCCCCTGCGCGGGGGAGGATGGACGTCAAGAACGCACGCGATGTGGCCGCAGCCCCCGCACCCGCGCCTCGCCAGCCGCCAGTGCCTCTTATAGAATTCGGGCGGAGCGATAGCCAGCACAGCCAATCAAGGGCTGGCATGCTCTGGCCCCGCCTCTGCCCCGCCCGTTCACGACATTGCCCACACCCTCTAGGTCGTCCTCCGTCCCTCTCAGCTCTGCTAGGGCATTCGGTCTCCATCCACCTCTCCCATCTTCTCTGTTTTGGCCCGGAGTCATAAGCTCTGGTAGCTGGTGCTTAGGAATCATGGACTCCAGTCTCCACCTGGGGGAGGGTTTTGCCTATGTGACAGTGAGAGCCTGGACTAGAACTCAGGAGGCTTAACTCTGCACAGTGCTCCTTCCCGTACCGCACCCCTTGGTCCAATCGGTTCTGCCTGGTCTTCTGGGCCACAAGGCCCACCAGGACCCCCTCCTCCGATCTTCCTGGGGCAGTGGAGAGGTTAACACAGAGGGGGGACTGGAGTCCTGGTAGGGATCAGAGAGGGTTTGTTCCCCACCAGGCAGACCCTTTGTGCCTGCAAAACAAACTACAGCGCTGCCGCTGTGTTCCTCTCGGCTTTCGCAAACCTGGATGGACCCACCAGAGGAGCCCCCGACCCCACAGTGTGCAAAATTCTTTCCATGCTCCTGCTCCTGTTTGCTCCTCCCAGTAGATGTCTCACGCCTTTACACAGAGGGGAAACAGACCCAGAAAGTGCAGTGGTGCCTTCCCCAAGGTCACATTGCAGGTCGGTCGCTGAATCTGGACAACTGGATGGAAGCAGCTCAGCCATGTACGCCCTCTGGGGGCTCAGATACCTGGGTTTCCTCCTGCCATTGGGGAGGAACACATCCTGCCCATTTCCCCCACAACAGAAATGACCCTGCCATACCCTCTCTAAACACTGGCCCAGACGCCAGGGACCTGCCTCCGTTTCCGTCCCTTTAAAGGTGCCATCAGAGATGGGAAGTCCCTGTAATGGGTGGGGCAGAGGCTGGAGGGCTAGAAACTAGTTCATAGGAATTGGGAACTGCAGCTAACCCGGGGCTCAGGGGGACCCGCCAAAAGTGTGGCCAGTGTGATTACTGCCCAGGCTGAAGAGGAGGCAGATGGGAGAGCTGCACCGTCTTGATGTGGAAGAGAACAGGGAGCCGCCCCCTCCATGCTTTCAGGTGCCTTAGATTGAGTGGTTAGGACTGGTGGGCGAGACAGCTGGGCTCCTGAGAGGCAGCTCAGAAGGGGCTCAGAGAGGAGAGAGAGATCCATGAGGGGACCAGGCTCTATGAAGGAAGGCTTAGGAGGAGTGAGGGAAGTGTTCAGTGTTTGGGAGTGGTGGAGACTCACTGGAGGACAAGTAGAGGGGATCAGTGAGGGCAAGAAGAGGGGTTCAATGACTGAAGGCCCAGGGAGGGGGGAGGAGTTTAGTGGGTGCATTGGTTCTAGAGGAGGGTCACAGAGGGAGAAGGAGAAGGGAAGTTCAGTGAAGGAGATAGGGCCTCTGGGACTCACAGGGGTTCAATGGGGATAATGGAGGCTCAGGAGTTACCAGGTTGCCCCCAGTAAGACGGAATGTCCTGCTTAATGGTGTCATCCCTTTGAATGAGCTCCTTTGTGTCATCAAACCTAGTGTCTTTCTCTGTGCAGCACACACACATCATCATCATCATCACTCTGGGGAGATTGACAGGTGTTTTGTCTGAAGCAGGCAGATCACTGCTCCCAACTTCTGGGGGATGAATAAGGGGAACAAGACTAGGAATTACCCCCATCACCAGCCAGATCCAGAGAACCAACCAGTTAAAATCCCACACAGGGCCCATCTGGGTGACCTTGGGAAAGTCCTTTCTCTAAGTAGGAAGAAATACTCAACCTATTTTTATCTAGTGGATGAATGTTCTCTATCTCCCCACATCATACATGAGAAAGGAGCATAGGCCCTGACTGGTTTGGCTCAGTGAATAGAGCGTCTTCCTGCGGACTGAAGGGTCCCAAGTTCGATCCCGGTCAAGGGCATGTACCTTGGTTGCGGGCACATCCCCAGTAGGGAATGTGCAGGAAGTAGCTGAATCGATGTTTCTTTCTCATAGATGTTTCTAACTATCTCTCTCCTTCTCCCTTCCTCTCCGTAAAAAAAAAAAAAAATAACCCTCCCAAAAAAAAAAAAAATCAATAAAATATATTTTTTAAAAAAGGAAAGGAAGGAAGGAAGGAAGGAAGGAAGGAAGGAAGGAAGGAAGAAAGTATAGCCTAGCTGCCGTGGCTCAGTGGTTGAGTGTTGACCTATGAATCAGGAGGTCACAGTTTGATTCCGGTCAGGGCACATGGCCAGGTTGTGGGTTCGATCCCCAGTGTGCGCCTTCAGGAGGCAGCTGATCAATAATTCTCTCTCATCATTGATGTTTCTGTATCTCTCTCCCGCTCTGAAATCAATATAAATATTTTTTTAAGAAAGAAAGGAGCATGAGCAACCTTTTCTTTCTGATGAGAAACCAAAGCCCCGTGAAGTAGAGACTTGTTCAGGATCACACAGCAGATAAGTGGTCAAGCAAGAATTCAAACACAGATCTGACCCAACCCGAAGTCATAGCTCAATCTCCCTGCTATTCTCTGATATGTCCTCTCTTCCTATCCTCTATGGCATTTCCCACAAGTTATAGATATATATGTATTTGTATATTATTTACTTATTTAATAGTCTCTCACCCTAGACTGGTTTTGCTTATCATTAGACTCTGCTGAAGTTAAGTAGGATGTTTGGCCCCAGAAAGCATCTAATAAACATTTGTTTGAATTGAAAAATAATACAAGGGTAGATAAAGCTTGTTGAGAATAGAAAAGTCCCCTTCGTCATGCATTCATTTATTCATTCATTCTTTGACACATTTGATCATTACCTACTCTGTTTGGCTGGCTGCTGGAGTTTAGAGCAATGATCAGATGGGGCCCTTCCCTTAGGGAGCAAACAGGTTAAGTGGCATACAGACATGTGATGGCAGTTCAGCGAGGTACCTACTGGGATGGGGAAACGCAGAGGCTCTGGGAACATTAAGTCCAGTTGGATGGGGAGGGAATCGGGGAGAGTTCTCTGCAGATGATATGTAAACCGAGACCTGAAGGATGAATCAAAGCCAGTGATGCAAAGATGGTTGGGGGGTGGGGAGAAGGAGACAGATTCACGATGAGAATACTGCTTGCTCAGGATAAGAGATGAGAGCTTTGGCATTTGCCTGCTTTGTTCCTGGCTTGCTCAAGCCCTGGGCTCTGCACGCTCAGAGTGGACAGGGGCCACAGCCAACCCCCTCTCAGTGCACAGCCAGCCTGGCAAACACAACACTGGGAATTAGGAAGTACATTTTTAGACTGTACTAATCATTGCTTTATTCTGATCTTTTTAAAATGTTTTCATTGCTTTTAGAGAGAGGGAAAGGGAAATGGAGAGAGAGAAAAACATCAACGTGAGAGAGTAACATCGATTGGCTGCCTCCTGGATATCCCCCACTGGAGATCAAGCCCAACATCCAAGCATGTGCCCTGACTGAGAATCCAACCAGTGACCCCTTTGGTGCATGGGATGATGCTCAACCAACTGAGCCAGACTGGT